CAAGGGAAGTTTAGGTTAGATATTAGGAAGAATTTTCTCACTAGGAGGGTAGTAAAACACTGGAACAGGTTACCCAGAGAGGTGGTAGAAGCTCTATCCTTGGAGGTTTTCAAAACCCAGCTAGACAAAGCTTTGGCTGGGATGATCTAGTTGAGGGTGGTCCTGCTTTGAGTAGGGGGTTGGACTAGATGACCTCCTGAGGTCCCTTCCAACCCTAACTTTCTATGATTCTATATGTTTCAATACTAAACTTATTCTGATTACAGATATTGTACTGAGACACTTTAAAGAAGAAACATGGTTGACTCCTGGAAGCCATAAATCAATACCAGATTTTTTTTTTTTTTTTTTTTTGGTGGAAGTGAGAAATCACCACCCTCCAAAGCAAGTATCGCTAAACTGCTAAGACAAGGGCGAGCAATTATCTCAGGCAGAGGGCCACTTATTGAGTTTTGGCAAGCCATTGAGGGTCTCATGACAGGCAGGCAGGGGCAGAATAATATTAATTCTCTAAATTTTTTAGGGGCCCTGCGGGCTGGATAGAATGACCTGGCAGGTCGCATCTGGCCCACGAGCTGCATTTTGCCCACCCCTATGCTAACATAATGTATTTTTCTGCTGATAACACTTACAGCAGAAAACAGAAGATACTGGATTTCAGAGAGCTGTTTAAAAATAGTATTAGCCATGGAAACAAAGTCTAAATTAAAGCATTACAAGCATATGAATAATAAAAACAAAGCTAGAAACTTAAGATTGATCATTCTTATGTCACCTAGTATACCCAGATGCATCAGCAAATGCGAAATGCAGACTTACCCACTATTTTCAGTTTTAGAGCATGTGAAACAAAAGTATGTTCCAAGTACAACTTTAAATGAATTTTCCTGCTTTTGCTAATTTTAGTTCTGTTGCTAACAAAGACCTGACTTGCGTATTTAACTGAATACAAAGCCACTGAGAATACGAAACGGTTGATTTTACACTATTTGGCACTCCGACATAAGTATCATTACATAAGCCAAGCAACATTATGCAAACTACAAATTCATACTAATTCTATAACCCATCTATTACCCTACATGCAATTTGCAGGGTTTAAATACCTGATAGTTCCTGTGGGAGAAGGGAGAGGGCTGATCAGGTGAGCCATGTTGTCTGGAATGTTTATTGTTAAGGGAGAGATCTGGGGTTGCACGGGTTTCACTGGGGACTCTGGGGCCTCCTGTTTTTCTCTCTTTTCATTGGACAGAGCTGTGAATGTTATCTTGATGTTTGTGCTGGGAAACCTGAAAGTACATCTGAAAAATAAAACAAATATGTAAGCAACTTATTTATCAATAACGTGTGAAACTGATTTTTTGCATAACTAGCAAGGCAACACTTTACTCTGATTAAATGAAAAGTAAATAAAAGATCTAGGGCAAATGATCTGCAATCATCTCCTCTCCATTCTACATACAAGCAGAGAGATCTAGAAAATATCAGAAAAACTCATAATTTTAGAATTTGAAATACAAGTATAAATCACCCTAACAAATCTGCAATTTAACAGGTGTAGCTTGCCATCTGTGTCTCTAAATTTCCTGTAGTCCATTATGAGATAAACTGGAACTATCCCCAAAATGGGGTTTACTTTCAAAATAACTAATCAATGATGTAACAAAGATTGGGTTTTATACATGAACTATTAAACTGTTATTATAGAACCTAAGCATGAGAACAACAGGCAAAAAAAAATCTCAAAATGCCATACATAGGTACCAAAACTAATAGTGCACAGTGTAAGAGAACAAAAGTGTCACCCAATTTTCATTTAGTAGTAACATTTTGTTCACTACAGCCTTACTTGAAATAAGGTACAGAGAAGGGCAATCAAAATGACCAGGGGCCTGGAGCAGTTGCCATACCAGCAACAACTAAAAAGGCAAGGACTCCTCAGTTTTGAAAGGAGAAGGATGATACAGGTATATAAAAATTACGAAGGGTACAGACCAAGTGAACCAAATGAAAAAAAAGCTGTATGGTTCAAATACTGACTGCGAATCAGGTCTCA